GTACAGGACCCAGAGGTCTTGTGTTTGGGGAGAAGCGTGGGCGACTTCTTTTTCGACTTCGGGCATTATTTTTTGCACTGAAGTCGGTGATGAAGTCTGCGAGGACCTGTGACTTTATTGCCGTTCATGGCCGATATGTAATATCGTGCTCGCTCAGTTCGATGGCCCATTTGGCCAACCTTGATAGCTCAGGTTTATGCAAAATCCTTTTTAAGGGGAAAGTTGTGACGACCGAGATGGGGTGGCATTGGAAATATGGTCTGAGCTTTCGTGAAGCTACGACTAAGGCCAGGGCCAATTTTTTGAGACGAGGGTATCTTGTCTCGACGTCGACTGGTGTTTTTCTAATGTAATAGATGGGGGATTGTGTACCTTTATTTTCTTGGACCAGGAACGCGCTCACGACTACTTCGGACACAACGAGATAGACGAGGATGGGCTGTCCCGGTTCTGGTTTTGAAAGCAACGATGGCGATGGCAAGTACATCTTTAACTCCTTTAGGGCTTGGACGCATTCAGGGGTCCATTGGAGGTCGTTCCCCTTTTTGAGTATGCCGAAGAGCTTATGGAACCTATCGGAGGATCGTGAAATGAACCTCGAAACGATGGCGATAAGGCCAGTCAACCTCCAGACCTTATTTTTGGTGGTCAAGTGCTCTGGTATCCCTTCGATGGCCTTGCTTTGATCAGGATTGACCCCAATACCTCGCTGAGACACTAGGAAACCTAAGAATTTTCATGAGGCCAAGCCGAATACACATTTTTCGGGGTTCAATTTCATGTTATATTGCCTGAGTATGGCGAAGGCTTCTCTCAAGTGGTTGATGTGATCTTCTTTCCTTTTGGATTTGACCAGCATGTCGTCTATGTAGACTTCCATCGTTTTATCGAGTTGGTCTTTGAACATCTTCGTCACCAACCTTTGGTAAGCTGCCCCTGCATTTTTCCGTCCGAAGGGCATGACCTTGTAGCAGTATGTCCCCTGGTGGGTGATGAAGGTGGTTTTTTCCTGGGACTCTTCCTCCATGAGAATCTGATTATAGCCCGAGTAGGCATCCAAGAAGCTTAGTAGCTCGTGCCTGGCCGTTGCGTCGATGCGTTGGTCGATATGGGGTAATGAAAATAAATCCTTGGGGCAAGCTTTGTTCAGGTTAGTGAAATCTACGCACATCCGCCATTTGTCGTTCTTCTTTTTCACCATGACTACATTTGCGACCCATTGGGGGTACTTCGATTCCCTGACGGAGACATTTTCCAACAAATTTTCCACTTTTTCGTGTACTGCGTCATTAATTGTGGAGTTGAACTTATGCCTAACCTGCCTCACTGGGGGGTAGAGTGAATCGACGTTCAATTTTTGTGTGGCGATCTCCTTTGGGATACCTGGCATATCTGCATGGCTAAAAGCAAACAAGTCTGCGTTAGCAGTTCAAAATTCACGAAACTTACCAGGTTCCTGAAGCTTGCAGCCGATGTAAGCTTTCTTGCTGTGGTCGTTGCTGTCTAACTAAACGGGTCGAGGTCCTCTATGGTCGATCCTGCGGCCTCAACCATATCGGGGTCTCTGATGACGTCCTTGCTGTCATCGCATACCGACCTCGACCCTGTTGATTGCTATGCCTCTTTTTCTTTATCCTTTGTTTGTTGGGTGGCCGTACAATCTAAGGCGATGCGGTAGCATTCCTGGGATGTGCATTGCTCCCCTCGTATACTGAATATTTCCCATAGAGTTGGGAATTTGATGACTTGGTACAAGCTGGAGGGGATAACTCTCATGGTGTGTATCCATGGCCGCTTTATTATGGCGTTGTATGCTGTTTCCTGGTCCATGATGTGGAATGTGGTTTCCATAGTGATGCCACCCGCTAGGACGGGGAGTGTGATCTAACCGGATGTTCTCTCAACTGCATTATTAAAGCCTGTTAGTATGATGCAACGACTATCTTATCTTTGAGTTTCAGTTGTGCAAGTACTCGAGGATGGATAATACATGCACTGCTCCCATCGTCTACCATAATTCATCTCACATCGGTATCTAAAATTCGTAAAGTGATAACAAGAGCATCATAGTGAGGGAAGGCCAAACCGTTGGTATCTGATTGATCAAAGATGATACTTTCTTCGAGTTCATTATACCGTTCATGGGTGATCGACCATTTGAGCTTGTGGTTTGTGGTGAACTTCACGCAGTTGATGGAAGCATCGTCCCCACCACCGATGATCATGTGGATGGTGCGGGCCGGTAAGGGCAGTTTTGGCGGCCCTTGATGTTGTTCACGCCCTCTGGCGAAGTTGGTCCTTCCTCGATCGCTCAACAACTCTTTGAGGTGTCCCTGTCGTAGCATGTTTATGACCTCCTGTCTGAGGGCGATGCAATCTTCGGTTTTGTGTCCTCGCTCTTGATGAAACTCACAGAGGGCATCTGATTTTTTGGTATTTGAGTCTGACCTCATCTTTTGCGGCCACTTCACCTTTGGTCCGAACTTTTCTAAGGCGTAGACTATCTCTGTTGGTGACACACAAATATTATGAGAGGATAATAAATAGTGCATACCTCTCTCGTTCCGGTAAGTCCCCGTTCTCTATCGGGGTGGGCCCTCTTCATGGCGGGATTAAGATGCAGCGGTGGTCCTGATATATGGGAGATGCCGTTCCCAGTTAGGTCATGAGGACGCCAGATCTCTTCTGACATCATTTCTTCGATCTTTCCTAGATTTTGCCTGCACCGAAGTCAGTTGATGGGTTGGCCCACTGAGGTCGTCCTCGTCTGCTCGGACTTCGGTGCAATATGCATTATGTATTTCATCCCAAGTCGTTGGGGGGGGGGGTACTTCATAAGCTGACTCAATAATTTTCTTGAGTTATCCCTTCCGATACATTCGGTAATGTCATTCTTACTCGGTTGAATCGGGCGAGGAAGTCCCTTAATCCCTCTCCCGATGATTGTTTGATGGCGAATATGTTGTTTACTCTCGCCATTTCTTCGAATGTTTCGATGGAACGCGTGGGCAGCTGCGAATACCACATTAATGCCCCTCCAGTGAGAGTCTCGCTAATTATTTTCAGCAAAATGGAGGATACTTGTTCTTTGGCGAGGTCATTGCCTTTCACAATGGTGACATAGTGGGTCACATGGTCTTCGGGGTCGGTCGTGGCATCATATATTTTCAAGTAGGGAGGCATTTTGAAGGTCTTTGGTATGGTATGTGGGGCGTCGTCATCGCTATATGGATGCTCTACGAACCGACCGACGTCTCTCTTCGGCAAGAGATTGGGAGCGCCCGGTATTTTATCGACCCTTTCTTCATGTTCTCTCATTTTGTCCCGAAGTAGCTTGTTCTCATTTTCCATTTCCTCCATCCTTTTCAGAACAGCCGTGAGAGCGTCATCGCCTGCATTGCCAATAACATTGTGAGTAATACCTGTCATTGCGGGAGGAGGAGGAACTTGATCATGTTGCTCGTCCACTGGTGGTATAACACAAGTTCTTGCATTTTCTATGGCTGTATCCCGAACGGGCTTATGGAGGACGCTAGTTAGCGTATCAGTTAGCCAGGCCTCAAGGAGCTTCTTTATTACTAGCGGCGTCTCCTCTACCGTGGATGTAGAGGCTATCTTACCAAGAGATTTTATGATGCTGCAGTGGGGAGGGGGTGACCCACCTCGCCTGGGGGATGCATTGGGCGTTGTGTCCTCGTCCACTGCTTCAGAGCTCTCATGGATGATGTTCATGAGGTTGGTTGGGATGTCGCTCATTATTCTCGTTCTTTCTTCTCTGTTACCTGCCATATTAGATCTATGTATGTAGAGAGAAAAAAAGATTCTTGTTCTTGATTTATTTTTTTTTTTTTTTTTTTAACGTTAGTGACCAGTGTCAGTTGTAGATCTAGAAGAAACTAAAAGAGTTAACTAGATAATCCCCACAGACGACGCCAAATTGTTTGACCAAAAAGTATAACTTTTGGCTAAATTATTAAATTTATGTAATAACGGGTTAAATCTAGTTAATGATAATAACTCTAGATGCGAATCTTGAAATCGTGTGTGAGATGGGACAGATCCAATGAAGTGTTGACAATGATAAGCACAAAACGTTCATAAAGAATGAGCAATAATGGAGATGTAACTAGCAATAAATAGCAATAAATGACATTTAAGTAAATAAGAGGAATAATTCACCCAATAAATGATGGATTGGACGAATGTTTCTCCTGACAATGATGAATGACAGATAAATTCAAGGTTTGTTTGGACTATTCTCGGTTTTGGTGTAAAAGTGTGGAATAATATGGGTAAGAATCTTGATAAAAAGGTAGTCTTTGTATCTTTACAAAAGAGAAAATCTTCTTCTGAAAAATATTCTTATCAAGTGAATATTACATGCCTTTTTTTCCTTCTCCCTTTCCTATTTATTTGAGACATGTATCTAACAAATCCTAATAATATAAGTGCCTATTCTCTTTAATATCTTATTTCAAAAACTAGCCGTTACTGTTTTGTCAACGATGCTCGACCTCAGCCATTGTTGCCATCTTTACCACGAACCTCGCTGTTCCCTATCCGATCTCGACCGATTCTTTCCTTAATGCTGCATTACCCTAAATATTTTAGGGCTGATTTTGACATACACACTAGTCAGCTACTTCGAGCCTTCTTTTACAACATTAGAGTAATGGACTGTAGGCAATTGAGACCTCGTTCGATTGCGCCCTAAAGAGTCAGCAAAACGAAGAGGGTCAGCACACCTACTACAGATTACACAGCCTGTAATGAAACTGGACGCATTTTCTTACTATCATTTTCTGAGATTCCATTTTTGCCAGTTGCCACTGCTTATCGCTACGTTACCTGACACATGGCCTCCACCTAATCACTATTATTAGCGTTGAATCCACATCACTTGCTCATTTCCTCCTTCTTACTTGTCAGTTGTAATTGTACGGTTGTACCTCTTACGGTGTCTCTATAAATACTCATTCACCCACTCTTTCCCAATTACGCCCTTAAAATCGTAGACTTTTGTGATTGTTTGCAATTTAAATAGTTCCAGAAGATCAGTGGTAGCCTACACTTTACTCTTCAAGATGAAGCTTGCCATGATTACTTTGTTAATTGTTTCACTTGTTCTGACTTCTTCTTTCCTTCAGTCATCCGTGGCCTATGACGACCCAAGTAAGATTTGTCGCCTCACTCTCACTCTCACACACACACATACACCAGCTGCTGACTAATTTTTAACTTATAATGCTGCTATTCAACTAAGGTTTAACTTATTTATATTGATGTGTAAATAATTTTTATATATCATATATAAGTGTGACGTTATAATATCTGTGTAACATGTCATTTATCATCTTTTCCTAGTTAATTATCATACCATTTTTTCTATAAAAATTACTTGTAATCAGCTTTCGTATATGTTTAGATAATAATTTATTGTCATCGTATAGAAGTTATAATTGATTGACTAATTAGTATTATATGGTAATTAAATTGATATATGATATGTATCTATATGGTGTAGGTTCATGCGATTCTAAGTGCGCAGTGAGGTGTGGGAAAGCAGGAATAGCAAAACGTTGCTTGACCTACTGTGGAATATGCTGCAATAAGTGCAACTGTGTCCCTTCTGGAAACTATGGAAACAAGTCGGAATGCCCTTGTTATAGAGACATGCTCAACTCCAAGGGCAAATCCAAGTGCCCATGAAATTGAATACTAACACTATCCAGTTCTTTCCACTCAATGTTCATCTCTCTTTCCTTTTCGATATAGTATATGCCCAAAGTTGGAAATATACTACAGCTGAGAGGAAGGAGTGCAATGTATGAAAATGCTGAGAGGAAGCTGGTGGTCAATACACGGATTGGAACATATCCGTTACAAATCCATCAAATCCGAATCCGAAGCCGTAGCCGAAGCCGAAGCAGAAGCCGAGCCGAGCGAGCGACGACGACGGCGCGACGCTTGCTTTCTTCTTAACTCCTTAAGAGCTACAAGAAGAGCAATTATATATATACCCACCAAAAATCTTTTCCTCTTCTAATATGGGACAATGTCTCATTGTCAAGAGGGAAAAACTTAAAATTTTACTCAAAAATTTCATTTTCCCTCCATTTCCCATTCACCCTCATTTTAAGACTATTTTATCTTTAAATAACAAAAACCTCAACAATATGTTACTGCCAACTATTAATAAAAGTATTCTCATATTCTTTATTTTCAGCAAATTACATCCAAGTATATCAAGCACCAGTTGGCGCTAGCTTGTAATTGTTCGTACTTGCTTTGAATATTAAATGCAGACTTGTTTCCACTTGGGCTGTACCATTTGTGCATTTTCTTCCTGTTCTTTCTATATCCAGATTTAAGAAAAAGAGAGGGAGAGAAAAGGGAACTATGATCAACTACAATGCGCTAGATTTTTTTTTTTGGTTTAAATACTAAAATTAAAATCACCTCAATGGTGGGGGATTAGGCCGACCCTTACATGTTCATATCATCACCAATTAGTGGTTACAATGAGATGGTAGATTGTCCTTTGCTCTGTGGAATGTCCTTTACTCTATAGAACCGACTGAATTCTGGCGAATCACCATAAGACTTTCTCAAAAAATTCAAAATTCTTACCGGCGATTATATTTTCAAGACTTTTCTTACTGGGTATAAAAATTTAAACGATGGCACCAAATAATCCTATTTGTGCAAATCACCCTGATAGATCACTTGATGAACAGCCCATTTCTTATTTGGATCGTCCAGCTCGATCTCTTGCATGCCCCGATAATAACAGCCAACCTTGCCACCTCATGTGTACTCCAAGAGTTAAGCCTTACTTGTAATTAGTTTCTAAACGTCAGGAATTTATAAACAATTTTTGAAGTAAAAAAGTATCTGTGCACCTTGTTTATTGAAAATTTAAGTATTAGAGAAAGAACTAATTCCCAATTTGTAATATTATTAAAAAGATCCTTGACCAATGTGATTAGCCCACATGTTACTTGTCTAAAAGGTATCACTATGTCCAGCATTCATGAAAACAAATTTGAGAGGAACAATAGTTAATGATATCTGTCCACAATTTTAAAGCCAAAAATCACACGTGTATTTAATTATTATCAGAAATAAAGTATGTAAATTTCAAATAACTTAATTATAATATAGGAGTATTATTACCCAAATGAGATACACAAATAATAAAACAGCAATCTATTTAAAAAGTTTTAGCGTGCGTAAAGCAGGAATAAACATCATGCTTCTGTAACTCTTGAATTGGCTCATAAATCCTTTTGGACATTATATTGAGCGACCAGTATATCATTTTTACAGAAATATGTCTCTCTTGCTTTATTTGGAAAGAGAGAAAAGAATAGAGGGAAAAAACAAAAGAAATTTTTTACGCTTTTGGTTGTTTAGAATATTGCAAAATTGTAAGTTTGTTACTTGTGATATTTGACCGAACACCTTCAATTGAATGTTAAATTGTTTAATTTGGTCGGGAAGGAATCTGAAGTACAATTTCTCAATTATGAGTTCTTTTTCTTTAAAAAAAGATGAACAGAAATTCAAAGCAGAATTTAAAAATTTCCTAATGAAATTGTCGCTTTCTTACATAGTGGAGCATCTTGAACTCCTACAATCAGAGCCATCCATGAACTAGGAGTGTCATGATGTACTGCCAAATAACTAGAAGAGAGCCAAAAAGAATTCAGATATCAATAAAATTACTCTAGCTCTTTCATTACTTTTAAAGAGATTTTGTCACTACCCGAAATACCAAACATGAGATCGTGATAGTGCCTAACATCTATTTGCTAGGCAAACCAACATCAGCTAATCAATTTACCATTTTAATAATTTAAAACAGAGTCACAATAATAATTAACGATTGGTAAAACTGAATTATATAAGATAAATCCATAAATAACACGGTCTAGACTAATCTCAGAAATCCGGTGTTACCAATACACGAGCAACTAGAGTACTACAAAGTATGATTTGAACGAAATACAACTATTTGAAACAAAGTAAACAGTAAAGACATAATAGAAGGGTACTTTAGGGACTGCGAACGCTGGACAACTCTACCTCAAGTCTCCTGTAGCAGTCGGATCCGAGCAGAACTCCTCTACGCGCCGCTGGAACCAACATCTGGATCTGCACAAAAAAGTGCAGAAGTATAGCGTGAGTATAACCGACCCCATGCACTCTGTAAGTGCCGAGCTTAACCTCGACGAAATAGTGTCGAGACTATGGCAAGACACAATAAACCTGTATGAATAATAATAACAAAATACAGAAATATAACTAAAGTAGTAAACTCATAAAAATGAACCCGAAGGTCAACTACCAGAGGACCCCAAAATAACATGATCTCAAATCTCATATCACAATACCGAGATAAAACTCCACAACTACAAACAACTACAACACATCATACTCTATTGCGGCGCATAATTCAATCCCAACATTTAACACAATAACTGTTGCAGCGCGCAACCCGATCCCAATATCATATCATATCATTACCTGTTATGGCGTGCAACCCGTTACCAATATCAATTTATTTCAATTCTGTTTGCGACGTGCAACCCGATCCCAATATCAACTCATTAACATAAACAACTCAACACAACCGATAACGGAATCTCAACACGAAAGGAGAATAAAGCGTATAGAATATCAAGGAACTACCAGCACAATGGAGGATAACCAATACTTCGTATTTATAATTCTCTACAAATCACCAATACAAGAATAGCTAAAGAACTCAAAGAAATTGGAATACCATAGTAAGGTATAACAAGTAATGTTAAGTCAATGAAAGCAAGTTAAATATGAAGCAGTGAAGTTATACAATTAATACATGTAGGAACATAGAGCAGGTAAGTAGATATTGTGCGAGAAATGAATAAATCAAAATAAGTAACAAGTAAAGCATGGATAACAAGAAAGATCATGTAGAAATCAAAGCTTATAACAAGAGATAACATGGAATAAGTGATGACATAAAGGTAACTAGCCCAATCCTGCATGGTTTAACCCATAACGACGCATATACACTAGTCACCTCACATATATGCTGTTTTCCCACATAATTCACATAACAAATAGACCAACAAGTCCTAATTTCCTCACGTCAAGTTAGACACGACACATGCCTCTTTGTGCAACCAAATCAACAATCAACCACGACTTTTCCTTTCAAACAAGCCTCCAAACCAACAAAATCTATTTAAATATCATTCAAACAATTCAAAATAAGCTTTAGAAACTACCCACGAATAAAAAAGGTTCAATCTTTGATGAAATTGAAAACGTCAACCCTAGGCTCGCTTGGTCAAAATTCGAGATCCGGACCAAAGCCTGATTACCCATTCACCCCGAGAACGGTTATGTGATTTGTTAAGAAATCCGACCTCAATTTGAGGTCCAAATCTTAATTTTACAAAATTTCTAAATTCTACCTGAAATCCTTAATTTCTACCATGAAAATCATAGATTTGCTGTTAAAAGCTCATGAAAAGTAGTGGGGAATTGATAGAAAATAAATTAGAGTTGCTTACCAATGAATTTTGGGAAGAAAAAGTTCTTCAAAAATCGCCTCTAGAGTATTTGGAGTTGAGAAATGGTGTAAAATGAGTTGAGTCCCATTTTTTCTCTCTTTTACCCAGCTGCAGGTGTCATATTTGCGAGCTCTTATTCGCAAATACTTTGACCGCAAATGCGACACACTGATCGCAAATGCGATCAGTGCATCAGGCCCATCAAAGTTGCAAATGTGACATTTTGTTCACAAATGCGAACTTCCCCCATCGCAAATGCGAAGCTCACTCCAAGGACACTATGTCGCAAATGCGACTATGAGATTGCGAATGTGATCTCAGCTTTGTTCGCAAATGCGAATTATTCTCCGCGAAAGAGAAACTCCATCCCTCCAGCCCTTTTGGCAAATGTGATAGTGTGACCGCAAAATCGAGGCTCGCAATTGCGAGCCAGACCACGCAATTGTGAGATCTGCAACAGATACCAACAACTGTAATGCACTAGCAGTTGCATAATTTTCCAAACTCTTCCGTAGCACATCCGAAACTCATCCCTAGCCCTCGGGCTCCAAATCAAACATGCACACAAGTGTAATAATATCCTACAAACTTTTGCGCTACCTCAAATCATCAAAATAACATCAAATAACAAGAATCGATCACCAAAACTCATGATTTTTAATTTTAAAACTCATTTTCACAAATTTTCACATAACGCGCTGAAATACACTCGGGTCACCCCGGACCCCAACCAAACATGCATACAAGTCCAAAAATATCATACGAATCTACCTGAATTTTTAAAATACCGATCTAAGGTCGTTTACCAAGAATGTTGACCGTGGTTAACTCAAGTCCCATTTTAAGCCTAAAGTCATTTTTCTTCAAATTTTTACGCAAAAACTTTGCGGAAAATGTCACAGACCACATGCAAATAAAAAATACCAAAACGACCGATCGGGTCGTCACAGATTTTTACCTATATATACTATATTAAAAACTTATTTACCCTCATTGTTTAGGTTTTGACTTAATTATAAGTTGATATACAATTTACCAGTTTTATACGGATAAGTTTTAAATGACTATCCTTAATTGTAGCCTTTTAATATGGAAATTAAATTCCGCATATCTACCGCTTTCACAGATCTCTCTCTATTTTCTTTTTTCTGCCCGACTTCTTCTTCTTTGGATCTATATGATTCTCTTATCTTTTCTCATCTCCCTTTTTTTCTTCCGAGAATTCAATAATAAATTTGATGTCGTCGCTTATCACCATCGACCATTCATTGCCTGTTCCCCCCATCCATTGAAAACTATCAAAAGCTTTGA